TACTTGCAATCTGAGTTGTGCACCCTGTTTCCAGTTTCTTAGTCCTAGGTGGTCTCCCTTATAATTCGAATAGGTCAGTCATGTGCCGCCGTATATGTCAGTTATCATCTTTTGTGTGTGTGTGTGTGTGTGGACAAGATATGAATCAAACTGTTACAAAGCTGCATCTTATTCATTGAATACTTACCTTTTAATATCTACAGTAGGGCGTATGTATACATTAATTTCCCGTGCTACGTGTAGCACACCCGGTTTTTGTTTACATATTTTTTGTCATTCCTTGTAATGTATTATTTGTATCACTTTGTTTATAAATATGCACACTAGAGACACCTTAACAGTATGTGGGCTTCGACAGAATTGATTTCTTTGTTTTTGTTACCTACGTGTATTTAGTCGAATGATTAACTAATTTTTCTTTGTTTTCAAGGCTGGTTTACTCATTCAGTAATGCGACTGTGTTAAATATTAAGGATTAAAATTCACTATACTGACTGTATAACTCTTCATCCTTTTTTTTTAATACTCCAATCCTATACATATCTAATACTGTTCTAATATTTTTTTTCCAATTTTTTCTGACAGTATATCTTGCAAAGTTGTGTAAGAGGATGATGATCTGATGACCTGTTTTATTCTGAATTGTCATATTGTTGGGAAATGACTTAAGTCTAAGTCATTCGACACAAGATGAGAAGCAATAATATTTTCCTGTTATCCATCTAAAACATGAAAACTCTACATATTTTAGCATCATCAAAATAAACTAATACCAAAAAAAGAAGGATAACTACATTAGAAGTACTCCGTAGACCTCTGTTACATTGCATTTCCGTTGTGAACTAAAACAAAAAGAGGTAAACATCACATCCCCTTCTGGGTCATTCCCGAACACACAAGCTTATTCAGAAATGTTGGTTTAACTAGCGAAAGAGATGATAATCAACTCAGTCTGTTGTATAATTCTGCGTAATGATCATCTTGAGTTTTCCGATGATTATATTGAAGCTTTGGTAGATTTCCAGTCTTTCTCAAATTGATTTTAAGGTAGATTTTGATCACGAATAGATATCAGATAAAAGGTAATTTTTCCATTGTATGTGAATATTGTGGATGGAATTGACGACAGTTAGTTAGTTATCCTAATGCATCAACATCACGCACACTTTGTTACTTTGTTATTTGATTGCGTGATTACTATTCATATTATAGTTTCGGTATTTTGTTGCAATATCATTTACTAAAATAACAGACTGTGCTGGTGGTTTGCTTTTAGCGACTATACTAAAACTAGATTTTGCCAAAATTAAATTTCATCATTCGTAAAACATCAATATAATACAATCATCATTATTTGAATAGCAACTGTGTAAACTTTACAGCTGTCTAGACAACGTTTCTCAGTAAATTATTGTTGAATTTCAGCGGGTTAGTGAAAGAATATAGAATATTTGCCACATTCAGACTATTGTAATGGTTAACATTGAATATTAGGTTAACAGACAGATGTTGCTTGATCTGTTTGAAATACTACAATTATGATTATTCAGGAACCAGGAAACACAAAGAAAATGCTTAGTAAATTGCATGTTAGCGTTACTTCTATTAGAATAAAAGCTTTTTTTCCAGAGTAGAAGTTCCCCTAACTGTAGAAGTTTTTCAATTTTGTGTAAGTTGTATATTCACCACTTCAATGCTTAGTGTTTTTCATTCTGAACAGTATAGTTCTGGGTTCTATCTCCGGTGTTAAGTGCTTTAATCGAGTGAGCAGTATTAAGGTAAGGCATCCGCCGAGTGCTACGTAAGGAGGGGAAATCAGTCGACGACGTTGTGTATTTACACCGATTGAGAGAGATGGTTAGGATATGTGTCACGCATCCCTAGCCTAACCATCGCCTTCCTCGACGGGCAATGTTAGTTGACATGGGATCACATTGGAAACGAGTTGGCTAGTGATGGTCAAACGAAAACATGGCTTCATCAGTCAATGAAATCCACAACAGTTAGTTTAAGCTAGTCACGTAGGGAGGTGTCGATCGCTGTCTCATTGGGGTCATCAGGATGGTAAAATCCAATGACGGCTGGAGACAATTGGTGATATGGCTGAAAATCGTTGTCAATGACTGGTGCAGATACATTCACTCTTTGTGATTTGTCATATCCCATAAAAGTCTATTGTTCTGCCATATTATCATTCTTTTTCTGTCACACTTTTGTTTATTATCTCTCTGCCTCTTTTGAATTTCTGTTTACTCTCTTCTCTTGCTTTTTGTACTGCGTGGAGGGAGTGTGGCGACTCGAACTGCTGTACATCTGTGAAAGTTCTATGCTGAAACCAGTCAGTGAGAACAGTATGGTTTGAAATTCGTTGTGTTCTCATTATCTCTTACTTTTGAGTTATACTATTCATCGTCATTTATAGCTGTTTGTTCCTTTTAAGGAAAGTGAGAATCTCTTCAGTTGACTCTTTACTTCTCGCATGAAGAAACTCTTAATTTACATTTTCAATTCAATCACTGACCTTAAATATAGAGGTTTTTTCGTATAGTATTAATGTCCTTATATATTTCATTAGGTCAGGAATACAATTCACTAGGCTAATTGATTTTTAATGTGTAAGTAATTTGTGTATCGAAGTTTTATTTCATTCTCTTCTAGATATCCCATTTTCTTTTTAAAGTGGAACTGAAAAATGGAAATCTTCTATGTACATCTTCATATTGGCATGTAGAAACTCGGATAGTATGAATTATCGACTAACTGAATTTATAATAATATGTAGATGAGTAATTCAACAAAAAAGAAAGATTCATAGGTTGCTGTGGTTGTGTTCTCCTAGCCGGGTGGTTTATTTGCGAAGCTTCTATCGCCTTTCTAGACAGCTTCTTTGGCGCGGCCTTCAAAATGTAGAAAATTCATTTGAATTATATAATTGTTTCATCTTTACCACTTTGTTTAAGATGAGTTGTTAATGTGCACTAGCATCAGTATTCTTATTGACGTGGAATTCGACTTTTTTGTTATGCGACGTATTTTTTTATTAATTGACAGATTTGATCTATGTTAATTTGTTAGTTGATGGCAGATTCATCTGAGTACCAGGCTATTAGAAATTCCCTGGCATTTTTGGTGTTTCCAGCATCAATGAAATTTACGTTTTCCAAGTTGGATTGGTGTCTATATTTGTCGATATCCACTGATATGAGAGAATGGATATCATGTCTTTTGACTGCTATATTCATCGATACGAAGATGAAAAGGACGTTCAATCTGACCAATATAGTGCTTTTCACAATTTATGTAATATATTTTGTACTTGATGTTGGTCTTGTCTTCTTTTTCTGTTAGGTCTTTTGGTTTGCATAGTATTGGATGAAATGACTGTGTTGCTCTGTGTGCAATATCAGTTCTGATTGGTTTAAGTATTCAAGCCATTCTTTCGGAAGTATTCTTTATACATAGTAGGATGAATTTTCTTGTGGCTTCTTAGGAGGGTAGTTTGATCTGAGTTTAGACGTATTTTAATGAAATTATTAGGAAATACATTTTTCTTGAAGACGGTTTATGTATACATATCTATCCTATTCTCCTCAAGAATGGAGTACAGCAGTGTGTTTTGGCTCTTTTTTAAAATAATCCTCGTAGACAGTTTCTTTTGTGTACTTTTGAATTGCTGCTGTTCTAAATGAATATTTGGTTTCTGTAAAACATCAACCTGAGCTAGAAACCTTCTCCATTAGTCTAAAAAGGATTCATATCTTATATCCCAGATTCTTACTGATTTTTATTGGCCAACCCTATTTGGGTATTTCGCTAAGTTATTGAAGAATACTGGAACAATCGTGTCCAAATTATAATTCATTTGTAGTCTTATGTATTTGGATTGTTTTCATTCCTACTGGAACCTAGGACTTCAAGTTTGAGTTTTGGAGTTTCAGTGACGGTGTTATTTTGATTTACGCGGCGGGGTTCGCCAACCTCACATCTAACCTTCCTTTTTAGCCGGAACTACAACAGGCTTAGTGAGGTTTAGGAGTGCCTTGGCAGAGAATCAAACCTGAGCCATGTGTGTGGATTAGCGTAGCGAAATTCTGAATATCGTCAGCCGTTTCATTAATGTAGGAATAATTTTCCTAAAAAATACTGTTGAGAATAGTCTTAATCTCCGACAATTAAGATAAAAAATAATTTAATATAATTAGTGGTTTGTATTTACTCTATTTATTCAACGCAATTAATGTAGTTTAATTTCTCCACTAAATTATCGTAGATATGCTAAGTGGGTCTTGATGTGGAAATCATAAATTTTGTTTTCTCTCATCTAATCGTAATTTTACTTTTTTGAAATTTCTAGATGGATATATTTAATCACTGTCAAGTATATGAACTCCTATAGGAGTTGGCTAAATACTGCATTAAATTTCATTTCCATGTTACTTGTCCGGTAGAAGCTAGCAGCGAAAATATAGGATGAAGTGTGTTGGTCTGCTTTAAGACTCACTGCACTAAAGGTGTTTTAGTCGTGGTTTATCAGCCTGGTAGATAATGCTGACGTTTAGATCTAATCTCTTTAGAAACACAGTCATTCACTACAACGTGAGTGTATTAATGAAATGAATGAATTTGACCTGGGATGCAACATGCTTCTTGTATTTCGCCAATAATCCTTATCGAATCTATGTGACATTAAATTGTACATTTGTCCCAGTGAAGTTGGATTGAAATGACTTTTTTGTTTTTATAAAATCACTAATCTAGTCAAAACTTTGTATGTTCCTATTCAACGGAAGGAAAACAAGTATGAATCACTGAGTTATAAGAATTTATTTTGTGTATCTTCCCTTTCTTTGTCGAGTAGAAGTTTCTGCTAAATATTCTAGTTTAAAGTGATTTTACAATAGTGTTCATCTAACACCACCCCTCCCCCGCCTACTCATATTTTATTCTGTTTAAAGAAAAGATGAATTGTATAAATTGATTTTTCTTTATTATTTTTGTAGATTTCATCTGCTCATCCAATGAATTTCATTTACACTAATTATCCTGACCAGTTAATCAAATCACAGATTAATAATTTGCCTGCAGAACATTCAAAATTAGCAACTTACCCAATGAGTAATTTAAATACATCAAATTCATCACAATATCCTATAAATCAGCATAATTGGCAAATTATAAATCTACACAGAATAATACAAAATTCAGATAAATCTCTTAATAGTAACACTCTTAGAAATGATCATTCATCGATGAGTTTATTTCGTAACTGGTTGTCTAGTCATTGGCGTAATACATTTTCACGTTCACGATCTAACAATAAACGTGTTAACCGTCTTTCATATCATACGCCTTCTTATTATACTGTGACTTCTACACCGTCAACAAGTGATGTTGTCAACTCAGAGGATTTTGATCAAAGTAAATCGAATCTAATTATAGCTAAACGTCAATCGACCAGTACATTAACTACAAAAGAATGCTATGTAACTGCTGTAGTCGAAGATGTTCCATCAGAAACAGGCAATAGTTCTACACTATCTGAATCTGTAAATATACCAACATCAGATTATTCTACTATGAATCAATCAGTCAACACTTTATCTCTTAATCTCGGAGTAAATACAACAGCTGATATAGTGTTTTCTCAGTAGCATTGATTCCATAAATTTCATTTATTCATACTTGTTTTATATTTGTATAATTGTTTATTTATTGTATGTTTGTGTTCGTTAACTTGTATTCTTCTTCCTCTTCTTTTATCTTCTTACTATTCATCATTGTTCAAGTTATTTTGTACAGTTAAAGAAAAGATACTGAATACAGCTGAAAACTTTTGTGTTCTCTTGATTCCTTCTGATTTTTCTGATTTCATTTTATCTAGCTCAAAAAAGCGCTAAATTACAAATAATACTTGTCGCATTTCGCTCCTATACACATATCGTATAGGAATTATGTAATATAATCTCTACTTTATTATTATTATTATTACTGAATTATAAGCAGATGTTTACTACTCATGCTTTACTTGTTTAACTGACAGTTTACATTATTATTAATCACTTATTTTTATGATTTGCATTTTACCACTATTATTCTTGTGTGTTGTGTACACTATGTGAAGAATGTTATCTCTCCTATACTACCTTTTTCTAAGATGCTTAGTTATGCTTAATTTTAATTTTCAAACTACATACATATATATATATGCATTAGATTATATTTCATGTAAATTGTAAGCATATAATATCATTCCTTTATTATAGTAATATTTTACCTTATTTGTGGCTACTTTTTGTTAACTTCCTATCACTACTACTGTACAACTTATTTTCATACTCCTCTATTTGTGTTTCTTTCATTTTCAGTTTTCTTTGCCTGTTATCTAGTTTTTTTCTCTTCTTTTTCTTGAATTTTAATGTGCAAAATAAGTGAATAAATATCAAACATTTGATTAAATTGAGTGACTTTTTCCCCTCCCCTCCTCTTATCAGAGTGGAGGGCGCATTCGCACGCGCGCGCGCTCGCGCTACTTGCATATCTTTTAAATGTTTCGTTATTTTTGGTGTTGTTGTTATTGTTGCTGCTGTTGTTGTTGTAGCCTACATCTGTTTTTACCTGTGTCTTCAGATAGAAGATAAAACACCAATAACTGTGTATTTCTTATTCAGAAATATACATTTATCGGCTGTATAGCTTAAGTGGATACCATATCCTTTCTTTTCTTACGTATTGTAATTACTTCTCTAACTATAGGGGAGGGGCATATGTTGTCTTTTTTGTTTGTTTGTTTTTGGTTATTGTTTTTATTTGTTTACTTTTTTTTCTTAGTTAATATGACTTATGTTTCCTTACAGTTTTTATTCTTTCGTGCAATTTGTAATATCTTCTTGTAATCAAGTGCGCATGTGTGTAATTCTAGTATCATTTTATAAGTATTAATAGTAGACTTATTTTAAACTATTTCATTGTCAAATAGTCACTATGTGTGCGCTTATCTATGTGAATGACAAAAACTTTATTCTCGGGGACGAGAGTAGAGATGACAGCATTATGAGAAACAAATAATAAAATAAAATACTTCGAAATGTGTTTTGTTTTACTTTTCTTCTTTCTTAACATACTGTTGATTTTCTTCGTTATCGAACTTGCATAATACGGTATTTAAAGTGTTTAATAGGCATCTCGATGTAACGCCTAATAAACTGGAAGTATCTGACGACAATTTAGAGAGATGAAGTTTCATGCTTGTTAGATTCAAGCCTTCACCATTTATTAATGTCACTGAAAGACTATCAATGAAATATTTAGGCTTCAATTTCAAATTGTGCAAGACTTAAAGATGATATTTATTTTCCTATGGTGAAGTCAAGTTCACTGATTATTATGTGGTTTAAATAAAAGGTCATCATCAGTCACAATGTTAAGTGGGTCTTATGGTTTTCCCAGGAAAAATATATGTATGTGTCATTTTACGTTATACTGAATATAAATGAAACTATTGGATTACTTCAGTGCCTAAATGACAGGTAGTGTAAGAACACTTTCAGTATTAATAGTTCCTCCTTTTAACATAATATGAACTATTTGTGTTTCTTGCTGTCAAGAAAAGATATTTGAATCAGGTCCCTGTGGCTGAATGGTATACGAGCTTGCCTTGTAACCGGAAGGTCCTGGGTTCGAACCCTAGCAGTGGGTGCGTACTACCGATGATTCCCAAACTAGGATGAAACAGCAGCTGTCCAGTACTTCCTGGTTTTCAATGGTTCTCTAACTGATATCAGTCCGTGATCAACTCGTAAAAACATAACTAACCCTTACAAACCAAACTATAGAATATTTAAGTTAGGGACTCTTCAGCAGCCCGCACCAGCCGGGGCTTGAACCCGTGCGTACTGATGAAGAGTCCTAAACTAGGACGAAATAGCTGTCCAGTACTCCCAGGTTTTCCAGTGGTTCTCTAACTGATGTCAGCTCATGATGAAATCCTCCTTGCAATCAAACAAAAATCCTTACAAAACCAATACTTGAATATTTAAGTTAGTTAAATGTATTTCTGTCTGTATTAGATGGTTGGAAGCAATCAGCAGGAAGCCTTGCTTGACATAGGTTTTGTGCCAGTTGGCACTCACCACAGTCAGCAAGGAGGCGTATCTGCAACCTCATGCCCCTTCTGAAATTCGAACCCGCGTCACCCATCAAAGTTAGGACTAGACACATTACACTAGTGTCCAATCAAAAATATTTCTATCTGTGTACATGATATACATTCGTATTATCCTTTTACTTATTACATGAAAATAATTTTCTCATTATATCCACCCATATTTATAATAGAAACCTAACTCTTTCATATTCACGACAGATAAATGTAACATGCATGTAGAATTTCATGCAATAGAAGACAGAGGTAATCCATCACATGTTGAAACAACACAAAGGCATTGAAATAACTGAAAAGAAAGTGCATTAAAAAAGTGAATATTTGTTGTACACATTATGATGAGTTGTTACCTTAGCTTATAAGTCTAGTAGTTACTCAAATTTCAAACATCCTTTAATACAACATAGTAGTAGTAGTAGTTTAGTAGTGATTAATATTGTTTTTAGCCCTTTTTAATTTACTTGTTTAAACAGATTTTGGAGTGTGTTACTTAACAGAATATTTTATATCTTAAAACTACTGAAATAATTAACAAGACAATAAAGGTGACTTCATCGAAAAGTGTTTTTTGATGCCTTCTTGTTTTCTTCTTTCGTTCAGTTTATTTCTTCGTGAAACTAACAACAAGAAAGACTTAAAAAAAAATATTATTTGTAGTACAAATATTCAATATATCTAATAAAATGTAGACAGAATTTTTGTTCCAAGTTGAAAATATGTAGGCTGTTTCAAATACAACAACAGTGTCTTGTGATATTCAATGCTTTGATCTTGTTATCCTATCCATAAGAAAAAATATAATTCTTTATAACCAGGATATTTGTAGTTATTTTTCTCATATTTATAATAACTCAGGTCTCTATAATGAATAGTTATTTAATGTCCTCCGGACTTGGTGTGCAGATTATGACCGATTTAATCATCCTTTTGACTGACTTCAGAAACAGTTATACATAATAAAATATCAGCATAGTCGTAAGTATGCAGCTGTTCTGTAGTCAGTAGTAATGAGTAGTAATTTTACCTCTTTTTATTGTTTCGTCATTGTGATACATACATGCACTTGAATATATGTATCGTACTATTCGGAGAAACTAATTCATTGAATGCATCTCTTCCCCTCAATACAATCACCTGCCAGTATCAATATGATAAGATAAATTGTTTGTCGTTAGTTACCATGATTCAAAATTTATGTAAAATGTAGATAATCTGAGATAAATGGGACCTAATTTGTTATATCATTGAGACATATTCAGAAAATTCTACATCTTAGGTAAATTTTAAGTGAAGTGAAATGCTTTGAGGAAATAAAGCATTTGAAAGACTGAAGAGTCTTTCATAACAACTGAATTCAGTTTAGGTGATATTGACTAAAGCTCCATCTTACGCGGAACTCATCCATGGTGTACGCCTGCATGCCGGTAAGTGATGATATTCCTAGTGAAATGTGTGGCGCATCTTTCTTGGTGCCATATTGTACCAAGTTCTAATGCGTTTAAATAAAATAAGTGAAATTTGAAACCAAACAGTAACACCATCACTACATGGAATGTAGGTATATCTTGTTGGCAAGTCCTAAGTAGGATGGAACGCATCCATTGGATTCTACTGCTAGCTAGTATTGACCAAACAACATGTTACTTCCAAGGCATCGTCGAAGCATCAGTACTTACAGTCGACATGTCAACAAAACTCAAGCTTTTTGGTCCCCAAAAAGCCAATCAACAGGAAGTTCAGAATGATTTCAATGAATTTAATTTACATATGACAGGTAGCATTCATCTCAGAATAGTTGAAGAATGATTATACCACAGACACTGTTTCGAAAATGTACTTTGTATTTAAGAGAAGAATAGGATGAAATGTATCCATCAGGTATTATGTTGAATATCATATATCACGTTACATTTTCACACTAGAGCAGATACATTGGGAAGGGATTAATATATGTATACCTACCCTTAGCATATTGTAAATATGCCTATACTCCAAAAGATAAGATAGAATCAGTAGATTGATTGCAAGCTGTGTAGTAAATGTGGAGTATTATATAGACATCACAGATTTAACGAAATGACCAAAACACTGATTACAGTTTACTTCATAGCAGAAACTTTTCATTCCTCAAGCTTGAAACATACTAACATACATTCAATTGTTTTTTATTCCCTTGGGTTCCCAGTGGAACATAGGGCTTCAAGCTAGAGCTTTAAGGTTTCGGCAGCAGTGGTTTTATTTTTACACGGTGGGGTTGCTAGTCTCACACCCAAACTTCCCTCTTTGCCGGGCTTATTACCAGTTGAGTGAGGTTTGGGAGTGCATCAGCTGGGGATTGACCCATAGACCACATTATTGGTTGGTGGGCATTCTACATCTACGTCACTGATTCACAAAAGCGGAGTGCGTCGGCTGGAAGACGATCTCAGACGGCCCGTGTGGCAGGTGAGCATTCTACCACCGACGCCCTCAGTTAGCATTATTTTACTTCAGTAATTTGAATTCAGCTGACGAATCAGTGAACTTACACGATTAGTTAATAATACGTCTCCATTAGAATCCAGGTTACATCGCTTAAATTTTATGAATATATTTTGTTTCTAGTATTCCTATAAAAATTTCTGAAATACTTATGAGCCACAAGTTAATCGCTCTTTAATTCAAGGCCTTAGCGGACGTGCATTCGTCAATGTCAGCAAACATGAATATTTAATGCATTATTTGATGTAATAGAATCTGAGTTCTGTGGTAGAGCATAATCTCATAATAGAACAACTCTGTTTGATATGACACATTGATAAAGCATTATTTGTTTACTGAGGAAGTTTTGAGTACAGTTTATTGTCCCTAATCGTATCAAGATATGATATGAAAATAAAGCGCTAAAATTTCAATCAATTTTCACATCAAGTAGTTACAATTACAAAAGTAAACAACTTTTAAACAGAAAATCACTATTGAAAACTAGTAATTATATGTTAATAATCGTTGTGCTAGTGAAAAAATAGCCAGTACAATGGCTCTTTTTCTCTCCCGATGCTCTTCAGTAGCTCACATACACAACTGATGTATTTTAACTCAATCTATTATATTTCATGTATTGCTTGTTCCCCTTAGCAGTTGTCAGCTTTATTCTACTGACTCTATAACTTCTAGATTAAGGCAGGACAATTATCTAGATTTTTGTAAAACAACCCGCTTACAAGCTTACTATAAATGATCAGTTGACTATACGCACAAGAGATGCATGAATTCATCTCATAATTATAATGTTTTATTTGGCATATTTCTTTTTTTGTGTGGTAAATTTATGCATCCAGAATTTCGTACTACAGGACTGTGTATATTTAAACTGGTTTTATCACACGCTAAAAGCATAAAAAGCACTGATGAATTAGTTAACCTACATTTGTCTTCAGTTTAATTCTCATGATTTAAATTATTGCTTATTCGTTTTCACCATCACAGTTGGAGAAAAATGGAAGAGTAAAATACTGACAAAAAATCATTGTTTTAAATAATGTCAACTGATAATAGCGTCGAATAGTGATGAGTATACACTTAGTTCTCACGGTTTTGGTTGATTAATAATGGAAATCATTTATTTATCGATTCACTGATGAAATCACAAAATAAAATTCCAGAGAATGTGTCAGATATTTAAGCATGATATCAATTCCAAAGAAATAAACGTTATCAGCGTTGAAAATGTAAGACAAAATACTGAGTTACTTAGCAGTAACGTGGTCTTCTCAGGACATAATGCTCTAGTCCAGCTGTACTACTGACGAGTTCATGAACTGAACAAAAATCCTGATGTGATTATGAACAATAAATTGTGCTTGAAACGACATCAGTAACTAGTACTACATGACACTGTGAGACCTTATCAAATAAATTTACCCTCCGATGGAATCATACTCTACCACAGGGATCAAGTTCGATTCTTATTATCGAAAACCCTGTTCATAACTGTTTAATTTTCAATAACTGTCTAACTGGTT